ATATTCTCTGGTGGTTGTAACCATACTATGTTCACTCTCTTATCTTTTTGGCGCTTGGCAACACAGCGGCTCCACCACCTCCATTGTAAGTGCAACCATCCCTTGCTTTCCTTCTACAAACATCACTATAGGAGCCCACCCATCACCATCAACATCATCACCAACCTCCACCATCAGCAAAGAACTCGACTTCGCCACCCACCACTCGGCCGATGAAAGCGCTGCCGCCGCCACAGTCCCTGAAGAAACTATCAAGAAGTACCCGCCATGTGATATAAAATACAGCGAATACACCCCTTGCGAGGACTCCAACAGGTCATTGAAATTCGGCAGGAACAGGTTGATATACAGAGAAAGACACTGCCCAGAGAAGGATGAACTTCTCAAGTGCCGCGTACCGGCTCCCCACGGCTACCGAAACCCGTTCAAATGGCCGCTGAGCCGTGATCTGGTGTGGTACGCCAATGTACCACACAAGGAATTGACTGTGGAGAAGGCCGTGCAAAATTGGATTAGATATGATGGTGATCGTTTCAGATTCCCCGGTGGGGGAACCATGTTCCCTAATGGTGCCGGAGCATATATTGATGATATTGGCAAGTTGATCAATCTCAAAGATGGCTCCATCAGAACTGCCATTGATACTGGTTGTGGGGTAAGCCTTATTTTCCTTATTTGTTGCGTTTGTAGTATATTTCCTATTTTGGTTGCGGGATTTTCCTTTTCTTCAATCTTAAAGAGTTTAGGTCACTTTTGAACGTGATCATCACCAGTCTAGTTGGCAGGGAGGCCAATGCAAACTAGATGGGTGACTAACAAGATTTTGTTCCATGTCTTTAATGATATGAAATGAGGCTTTAGATCTAGAAACATGTTTTATTTTAATTCTATGAAAATAAGTTGTTAGGAATTGAAATATTGTACAGGTTGCGAGTTGGGGAGCTTATCTTTTGTCAAAAAATATAGTTGCAATGTCATTTGCACCAAGAGATACGCACGAAGCACAAGTACAATTTGCTTTAGAGCGAGGAGTTCCTGCTTTGATTGGTGTTATTGCATCCAAGAGGCTCCCGTATCCATCTAGAGCGTTCGATATGGCTCATTGTTCGCGTTGCCTTATTCCATGGGGTCAATATGGTAATTTCATCTATACGGATTTCATCATTATTCTTGCTTAAGTTTTGATTTCTGGAATAATAGTTTTGTCATTTGAATGACACCTAGACATGTAAAGTGGACGAAGCCTAATTCAGTACTTAACACGTAATCATATTGGCTAACAAAAAACCCTTAACTTTTGATGTTTGTTTAAACAGATGGCACCTACTTGATGGAAGTTGATAGAGTGTTAAGGCCCGGTGGCTACTGGATTCTCTCCGGTCCACCAATCAACTGGAAGAACCACTGGAAAGGGTGGCAGAGAACGGCGGAGGATTTGAGTGCAGAGAAAATGCAAATTGAGAATATAACACAAATCATATGCTGGAAAAAATTGGTTCAGAAGGGTGATATAGCTATATGGCAGAAACCAACCAATCATTTACCCTGCAAAAAGTTCCACAAGACAGTAAAAAACCCTCCATTCTGCCCTGCCCAGGATCCAGATAAAGCTTGGTTTGTGTTCCTCGACTCCTTGTATTAGAATCTTACATGAATTCGTGGGGTAAAATTAGCCGGTTGTCATTGAACTTGTTGGGAAATCTCATCCTGATTTTAAATTGTACAGGTACACAGATTTAGAAACTTGTTTAACTCCCTTGCCTGAAGTTTCCAACAGTGAAGAAGTTGCTGGTGGGGAATTGGAAAAATGGCCTAAGAGATTAAATGCAGCACCTTCTCGGATTACTAGGGGGACAGTAAATGGTGTCACCCTGGAAACTTTCCAGCAAAACTCGCAGCTATGGAGAAGAAGAATATCGTATTACAAGACCGTTAATAACCAACTTGGACAAGTGGGAAGGCATCGAAATATACTTGATATGAATGCGTTCCTTGGTGGATTTGCAGCTAGTTTGACTGAAGATCCACTTTGGGTTATGAACATAGTACCTGTTGAGGCTAAGGTTAACACACTTGGTGTCATTTATGAACGAGGATTGATTGGAACTTATCAAAGCTGGTAAATCTTGATTAGTGGTTCGAATTTATGTTTGTGTTTAAAGTAAATTTTACCATTTTTTTCCTAAAGCTTTATCAGATATCTTATTTTAAAGTTACAATGTTCATATTTGGTGTAGGTGTGAAGCAATGTCAACTTACCCTAGAACATATGATCTAATTCATGCTGACTCGGTGTTTACTCTATACAAGAATAGGTAACTTGACTCTGCATTAATTTTGGTTTAGACTATACGAAATTGAAGCGAGTCCAACGTACTGAACATGCATTAAGAGGATTGTTACTTTACAAGAAAAATGTGTATATTTAGAAATTCAATTGTGATAAAATCTCTATGTAACATTTATTTTTTGTGCACATTTGTGTCGCAGTTGTGAAATGGAAGATATTATGTTAGAAATGGACAGAATTTTACGACCAGAAGGAAGTTTGATTATCCGAGACGACGTAGATATGTTGGTGAAAGTCAAGAGGATTGCACATGGATTGAATTGGGAAAGTAAGATTGTAGATCATGAAGATGGGCCACTACAAAGGGAAAAGCTTTTGTTTGCAGTGAAATTGTATTGGACAGCTCCAGCTTCATCTGACCAAGATGAACATATAACATCTTAGGACTATTGTACTTCAATATTAATTCTTTTTTTTTTTCTTTTTTTTTTTTTTTTTTTTTTTTTTTTTTTTTTTTTTTCTTTTTTTTATTTTTTTTTTTTTTTTTTTTTTTTTTTTTTTTTTTTTGATTGTTTGTGTATTTCCATGTTTTCATGTTAAACTTTATTGGTTCAATCTTTGATTAAAGTTTGTCTTGGATTGGACCAAGTTATCATAAATCAAAAGAAACCCAAAAATACTTCATTTACTTCCAAATAGTGATTATTTGATTTCAGCTACAGTGGCATTTTCTTACGAGTTCAATCATTTCAATCTATGTATATTTATGAGCCACTCAATTACAACAGTCGAATTAAACCGTCAAAATTTTCAAATGTGCGAACCAACGACTACAATTTACTTATTCACCACTAATTTTTATATATTTATAAATTAAACCGTTTATAAATTATTTCCAAATAAATAATTAGTATTTGATTATTCATCACGTGACTGATAGTAATATCGCAAATTCTTTAGTATTTGATTATTCATCACATTGCCAGTTCGTCAAGATCCATAGACGCACATGATCCGATAATTAGAATATGACTAATCCAACTTAAGTATGTATTAATTAAATTGATTGTCACCAAGTTAGGTTGTATGTATTAATTAAATTGATTGCCACCAAGTTAGGTTTAAAAAATATTTTAATAATTTCTTTAAGAATTCCGGGACGATCGCGTTGATGTAAATGAGCACCGAAACCTATATATTGATAGATACATATAGAGATGAGGTGTTTGATATTAAGCCCTTGTTTGATCCCATTATTTTCAAGATACATTTTTCTATCTCCTCTTTTCAACTACACATTCTTCAATAAGTAATTTACACGCAGATCCAAACTTTTTCTTATTTTTTAATAACATAATCTTCATCAATCATCATTTCAAAATACATTCTTAGCCAAATAATGTGGCTCAAACAAGGGATAAGCCATTGTTTGGTTTACCTAAAAAATTACATTGAAATTTAAGTTAAAATCAACAATAAATTTTAACCATACATTTCATGACATTTACAACTTTTCAACTATACATTCTTTCAATTTTTTTTTTTTTCAAAATTTACTGAAAAATTAATTTTTATCCAAATCAAACAGAGACTAAATCTTGGATAGGGTTGAAGTGGGCGTCACGTGAATATTCTTGAATAATTAGGTAATACGTTGATGGAACTTAAATGCAACAATTAACTAACTATTTCGCCTACTTCTTTTCACTAACCATTTCTCGAACGCTACCTGGTCATCTGATAAGTGTATCTTGTACACTTATTTAGACAATTAAATTAGAGTATTTGCTAGTGATTTAAATGAGTTAAAACTTAATTATCTGTTAATTATGTTTGTTAGGTCGAACTCAATGCAAAAGGGTAGAACTGGAAGAAATGAACGAAAAAGAGCAAAAAGGAAAGAAATTCAAAGTTTGGGGACCAAAGTGTAAACATGCAATAGTTGATTCGGACCATAAAATGATGATTAAAAATCACATATGATCAATTGGATGCAATTTGGAGGTCAAAGGAGTGAAATAGAGTTGAAGTACTTTCCAAATCAATTTCTAGCCGAAAGAGTTATTCTCCAAATTATTAACCTCAACTTGAGACCCATTTTTTTTTATAGCAAATGATCGAATTGGAAAAATTGTAATTTTAGAAGAATTGTAACCATTTGAGTTAATTTTCTAACGCATGAATGAGATTAGATTACAAATCAAGAATTGAAATAGATATCGATAGTCGGATTCGAAATCCAATTTAATCATTCATAATTTGACAAAAATCAAACTTTTATTGCTTTCTTATATTAATTTAGAATAATCACAAAATCAATTTATCTTTTATTTACATAATTCAAATTAAATACATAACTAATAAAATTGAATTGAAATTTATTCTATGTGGGACGGGCGATAACTCTTAACTCACTAAATCTATTACTTGTCAATAGTGTCGTATGCTTGCGGGTTTCTCACGAACATCATTCATCATAAAATCAATAAATACATGTTCAGTATTACACACTAAACCATATTCGCAAATTTCAACCTTTTTTTTCTTCTTTAATATTTTTCATAATTCACTTGACCAAACTAGCATGAGAGCTTGAGTGACAACACAGATTTGGTGAAAGCCAAACTTTCAATTAGGTCACTCATGCAAAATGATCACCATTCAATGCATAATCCCACCACAACAAGTTATTAACAACTATAAATAGCAATGAAATAAGGCACAAAAATCAGAAAAAGCAAAAAACTTAAAACATGGCAGCAATGGTATCTGATGTTTCCCTCAGCCGCCGCCTCCGCCCCATGTGGCTGGTGGTGCTCTTCCTTGTTCTGGTGGTGCAATACCACATGACTCAATCTCAGGCACAGAGTAGTTGCTCTTCTTCCCTTGCAAACCTAAGTGTTTGTGCACCCTTTGTAGTTCCAGGCACCACCAATGCCGCCCCAAGCACCGACTGCTGCGGCGCACTGCAGTCGTTGGATCACGACTGCATTTGCAACACTGTTAGGATCGCCGCTCGCCTCCCGTCCCAGTGCAACCTCCCTTCCCTCAGCTGTGGTGGTTAGTTTGCTCCTACACAATCTGTATGGTAACGGAAAATTACATGTTTAGTCCCCAACTTTTGATGAATGTGAAAAACTCATCCTCCAACCTTTAAATTCAATCTCGTACGTTTCCAATCTTTACCGTCATTGGAGTAGTTAATCCATTTTGGGAACCCACCCCCACCCTCCTTGTCATCTAAACTCGTACCACAATGATAATTTGAAAGAGACGAATAACTCAAACTTCCTACTAAATCGGAACATGCAAACAATGTTATCAAGGCGAATACAGTCACTAGCTCGACCGGACTATAGGCTACAGCCCATATCTGCCCCTACAAATGTCCACTTTGCTCTTCTTCTTCTTCTTTTTTTTTTTTAATTTCTATTTTTACTATAAGATAAACCCATATACATTTGTATCATAGTCTGTGTCCAAACTTATGGCTAGATCCGCCACTGAATTTCATTGTTTTAGGTGCTCCCTCACATGCAAACGATTTTCATATTCATATCAAAAGATTGACACGTGAACAATTTTCTTAATCAATTGCAACAATATTTAAATTCAAAATATCTAATTGCTTTAACGCTATGTTAAACAAACTTATCTAACAGGTTAAGGCATAACGATTAAAAGAGGACACATAGTTATTCAGATTTAGGTGTAGACAATATTAAGTGGATTTTTTCTTAATCTCTATTTCTTGTTAAATTCTATTTCTAATTTGTCCACAATTTTTTCTTTTTTCTTTTTTCTTGTTACAGCAATTGACTAAGTTGGACGTACTGCTGAGTGCGAATAATGCCAGAAATTCAACAATTTCCCTTTATCTTTTTCTGTATTTGAGGTGTTCTCTGATATGCAATTAGCAGTGCCATGCATGCATGTAATGTAAGGTCGGGGAAGAGTACTTGCATGAAATAATAAAGAAATATTTATTACCATATATATGATCAAGAATAAGCATTGAGTAATACTTTTAAAGTTCGAAGCGCGATACTAATGTTGAGTTTCAAAAATATATATTCCCTTTTTTGTAGGGATTAGAATTAAGATTTTAATTTAAATCAAAGTCAACAATTCATTTTAACCATATTTTGTAAGATCCACATTTTTAACCACACATTTCATTAATTTTTATCAAAATCTACTAAAAATTTAATTTTAATTCCCACCAAACAGATCATAATGATGGTCACTCACTTTTCTTTTTTCATTTTTTTTTTTGGCTTTTGATAAATAAAAGAGTGGGAAAAAAATTACTTTTCCATTGCAAGGCAAAACATATAAATAACCTAATTCCAAACCCATTCTTAGTACAAAGGACCCAAGAATACAACAGATTCAGTAACCAACAAATTACATCGACAACACTCGAAAAAAATCCATAACCAACCGGCATCAAAGACTTCACCGATCTTAGGCTCAGACACTGTACCCTTCTATATCTTTCACAGAGGCACCCAATAGACCCAATAAACCCTCACAACTCAAGATACAAAACAAGAGTCACTTCGATGAATCAGAAAGAACTCAACCCCAGATCTATGGTCTTACTCACATCGAAAATCACAAAGACTTTAATCTCACACAGAGAAATCAACCCTTAATCACACAGAAGAAGGAAAACCAGAAAATCTGAGTGAAGACGAACATGGTGTAAAGTTCTAGAGACTCTCTCAGAACGAAGAGTGAATCGACTATTAGGGTTAGAAGAATAGACCCATTTTATACTAAATCTCAACCATTGATCTAGGGTCTCATCTAATGGTCCAGAGCGACTAGTATTTCTACCTTCATTCAACAACTTAAAGTCGCACTTTGAATATCCAAAATATCTGGCCATTTATTGGGCTCGGGTCGTGGGCGACCATCAAACGTTATTGGGCAGTGAATATTTATCTGGGCCAATAGGCCATTTCATTATCACCTAAACATATTGGACTCGACCTGGCATCACAGCCCAACACCCATAATCATCTAATGGATAAAATGTTATTTTCAGAAGGTGCATGCAAATCAGTTGCCTCAATTCCATTTGTCAGATTAGTCGAGCTTTAATACTCAACCAGCTTGAAATGGAAAGCAGTTTCGAGTTTTATACGGAAAAAATGATAGAAAAAATGTCCTCAACAAGCAAATAACTTCTTTCAACAAAATAATCCTCCCTTGTAATCCTGTGCTGGATTACAACACGAGATTTGCACCTACGACGGCAGCCCATTCGCGAGCCAGGCGCTTCAGTAGAAATTCATAGCATAAAAGTCAGTTGAAGGGTATTTTTTTTTTTTTTTTTTAACTAAATGACTTTTATTGATGAACCCTTACTTGTGGCGAAGGAATACCGTAGTTACATAAGATTAGCAAAACACCATCCATATCAAAGTAAGCCAAATTACTTGTAATCTAGAACAACATTGAAAGATTTGATGACAAACTGTGAGGAGAAAAGCCACGAAAATTGGGGATGCTCAGTTTATCCATACGCAAAGCTCCTCTAACTGATGATGGGATTGTGATAGAGTCCATCCAAATATGTGAAACATAAGACGCTCCCAATTTTGACAGGATATTAGCTACCGAGTTACCCTTCCGATATATGTGTTGGATTCTACAAGAGATTATATATATCTGGAAAGAATAATAAATCCCACAATGTAAATGAACATTTATTCAACCTTGTTATAGAACCTTTGACAACACTATACTTTGTTATAAAATTATTTTCATATTAAACCTTGGACATATAAGAGTTCCAAATCAAATTTCTTTAGAAAGAAAATTTTTGTGTTATGGTAGTCTGCTCCAATCCTCTTGAGAAACTTTCATTGTTATTCTTTGTCAATTCTCAGAAGCAACAAATTGACAAGTGTAAATAATATAATTTAATTAGCCAGCAAAACATTGTATCAACCTAACTACAGAAAGGTTACTAAGACCATACTAAAACGACTAATGACAAGAAACAGTCGGCCACCTTAATTATCTCCATGAAGTAAAAAATTGAAGAAACTAACAATTTAATGCAATTTAAATTCTGCATAATTAAGTCATTCTGGAGTGTGAAAAGATAAGTGATTTCTTGAATATAATCTTCTACTCTTCTAAAACTTGTTGTTCCATCTCCAAGTTTCCAACAAAAGTGGTTTCAAAGCGAGGTTATAAGAATGTGAGAAGAATAAATGGAAATCAACGATTCTCTTCGTGTTCATCGACTCATTAACGATAACTATAGTATGCAGTGTATTCATATGAATACTTGTCTTGAAAGTCAAGGTTTGTCAGATTTGATAGAGAGATGTTTTGAACCTCAAAATGAAGAAGGCGTGTTCAAGACTTTCAACAAGCAACTAAGAGGAAGGATCAAAAGGCTCTTAGTAGGATTCATCAATCTCTTGTTTATACGCCTTTCAAAAGGTGCATGGGAGATTCTTCAAAACGCATGCAAAGGTGCAAACAAAGTCAAAATTTTTTATCTTCAATCTGTGATAGGAGAATACGAAACCCTATCCATGAACGAATCTAAATCAATTTGAGATTACTTTTCATGACTATGGGTGGTTATAACTGAGATGAAAATGTATGGTAAAAAAGTAAGTAATCTTCAAGTGATCAAAAAAATTCTCAACTTTACATGAAAAATTTAATTCTATTGTGGTGACAGCCGAAGAATAAAAAGGCTGCTAAGAAATTATTATTGATGAAGTCATGGCCATGCTACAAGCTCACGAGAAGTTGTTGAAAAAGGATAGAGAATCGGTAGAACAAGTCTTTGTAAGATAAAAAAGAGGAGCAATACGAACCAAAGATGTAGGAGGATGCAAAAGAGGAGATAGAAATTTCCATTATTCATCCAATAATAAAGGGAATATCAACACTCATATAATTCAAGAAAGTGATGACAACATAATTCTCAAATAGCAGGAAGAAGAAACAAATGGTGGGAGATTTAATAGATTTCAAATTGAATGTTACAATTGTACAAACTTGGTAGTTGTATTTATGCAGGAGTAATAACATGTACAAGTGTTCTAACTACATTGAAAATAAAGATGAAGAAGAAAGAAGAAAGAAGAATGAACTTTACTCTTGACTTACAAGGTACAAGAAGGA